ATCATTTATAATACTTATTAAAAAATATAAGTCTTGAAAGAAAAATCTAAAAGCAATTTTAAAAAACCAACAAACAATGGCTTAATTTGTTTAGTGATGGCTTAGTTTGTTATGTTAAACTTTAAAAAAAAAAAAAAATTTAAACATAAAAGAATTATTATTTTACTTTGTTCATTTTTTTTTTCATTTGTTTTTTTACAAGTATTTTCCAGCAATAACAGAAAAATCAGTTTCAAGAAAAGCTTAACCCTTGGAATTGAGATTGGAAATAAATTGTCAACCTTAAATTGTTAGAGGTTGGCATCAGGTCGGCAGAAGAAATTTGACACAAAGGGTTATCATAAAGAATAAAAACGAGGTCGGCAAATTTTTGCCTCTCAAACACTTAGAGGTCAGCAGTTAGCCAACATGCCAACCCTAATTTCAAGGGTTGCTAAGTACACACCAGAACAAAAAAGTATGTCATCAATTGTCAGAAGAAGGTATAAATATTGCTACAATAAACTCTAACACAGGCAGGTATTTACAAAACAGTTATGAATAAAGCAATAGAATCAAAGAAGAATCAAAGAAAATTATAAAAAAAATCTTTATGGACACTACATTTTGATGGCAAAAAGATTAAACAGAAAGAAATGAAAGTTGTAGCTTTAAAACAATGATCAAGAAATAAAGCTGGCAGCCTTACAGTTCCAGCATTGATTAATTTGTTAAATGACTTTGATATATGGGAAGTAATAAATAAGATTAGTTATGACACAACAAACACAAAAACTGGAGCAAAAGTTGGTGTTGTAGCATATTTAAAAAAAGAGTTTATAGCCAGGAATTTGGAAGTTCCACAATACATTGTTTGCCAGCATTGTGTGTTAGATTTCTTATTGAAGCATGTCATGGGCAAAATATTAATTATTTTTCAACAAATATTAATTATTTTTTTGTTGATGAACTGATACAAAATTAAGATGTCTTGGTTAAAAATTTCAAACAGTCAACACCAACCATCAGCACACCAGCAGTGGTATGGCGAGATGACATAAAGTTTTTGTGTGAACTAGGGCATCATTACAGATTTCATCTGGAAAAAAAGGATTTTGCCATAATAATTTTAAGGCTGTTCCAAATAATAGTTGCTAGAATTTAAGAGGAATTATAGCATTACTGGCATTTATTTTGTCAGAACATAGGCAGCAACTACAACCAGCATGCAATTTTATTACTGGTGATTTGATGAAATTCTGGTTTTCCATCACTATCGTAATAGAACAAACTAGGAAGTTTTATTAGCTGCATTTAACCAGTATGCAAAATCAAAAAAATCTTTTTTAAGACACTGGTGTAATCAAGAAACTGTTATAAACACTGCAAGATCCAATATTTGTTCAGAACGTTAGTAAAAACAGTGCAAAAAACTATGGATTATGCAAAAACTGAAAAAACAATTAATAAAAAACTTCAAATAAAAAATTTTCAAATTTAATAATTTAAATTTTTTGTTATAAAATTTAAAAGTTATACTGGTACTAATTTTTTAAGCATCTAGAATTTATTAGAAATACATGACTTTATATTGGAAAGTCCTAAAATCACTAAAAACTTTTTTTTGCTTTATAGGGAGAAGTTTTTTTATTTTTTTTTTATTATGACTAAGATATCTTTAATTTTTAAAACTCATTGTGTACTAAAATCATACAAGAATTGAAAAAATAATCATCAGAATGTACTTATTTTCATAAGTTCATTGGAATTTAAAGTCAGTCATTTATTTTTTCAACTTTATTTAATTAACTTTAATTTTTCTTTTTTCAAACAATTTGTTTTAAAAAAGGAAAAATCAAAGTTAATTAAAAAAAATAGTTTTAATTAGAATTATAAAAATTTGTCACTGAAAATGTAACTTAAATAATAGCTATGGAATTTGTGTCAACATCATCATACTTTGTGACACCATCGTCATACATTGTGACACCATCATCATACTTTGTGACACCATCATCATACTTTGCAAGGACATCGCAAATGGAAGAAAAATAAGGAATTTTTTTTAACAGTGAAAAGGTGAAAAATAGATAAAAGAGAAAAAAGAAAAACAAATAAAAATTGTTCAGAATAAAAGATTTGAAAATTAAAAACAAAATGAAAATATTAAAAAACAAAAATTGAAGAAAAACATTAAATAGAATAAAAATGATCATAAAAAATTTGAAAATAAAAAAGTTTAACAAGTTATTAAAAAACAAACATAACATCATTTAAAATTTTATTAACTTATGTTGCTTGGATTGTTTATACTGTCGTGTATTTTTGTGTATTGTTTATAATGTTGTGTGTTTTTATGTATTTTTTATATTGTCGTATTTCTATGTTTTGTTTTTACTGTTGTGTAATTTTGTGTTTTTACTGTTGTGTAGTTTTGTGTTTTTACTGTTGCGTAGTTTTGTGTTTTTACTGTTGTGTAGTTTTGTGTTTTTACTGTTGTGTAATTTTGTGTTTTTACTGTTGTGTAATTTTGTGTTTTTACTGTTGTGTAATTTTGTGTTTTTACTGTTGTGTAATTTTGTGTTTTTACTGTTGTGTAATTTTGTGTTTTTACTGTTGTGTAATTTTGTGTTTTTACTGTTGTGTAATTTTGTGTTTTTACTGTTGTGTAATTTTGCGTTTTTACTGTTGTGTAATTTTGTGTTTTTACTGTTGTGTAATTTTGTGTTTTTACTGGTGTGTAGTTTTGTGTTTTTACTGTTGTGTAATTTTGTGTTTTTACTGTTAAAGTGTATTTTTTGTTGTTGTCTTGTTGCTTTTAATGTTGAAGTGTATTTTTTTTTGTTGTCTTGTTGCTAATATTGCTTTTTATGTTTGTTGCTATTATTCAATATATTTCTTTTTTTTTTTTGTCTTATTATATTTCCTAAAAATTTCCTTTTGTTTTTTGTCAAACATTGCATTATCTTATTCATTCGTTATCTCTCAGTTTATTCATTTTGTGTATTACTTGTCTTGCTTCTTTTTCTTTTCTTTAAATATAATTGTTCTTCTTTTTATTTTGTTTTATTTTATTTTAGTTGCTATCTATTTTACTTTTTTTTAGCTTTACTTATTTATTTTATAAAGGTGTCACTCCATGACTAGTTTTTAACTATACGAGTGACACCGATTTGGAGGATTTTTTAGGAACAATTTTCACGTTATTATCTTTGCACCACTGTAGAACTTTTTTAGAATTGTTAGAAGCACCAAGATCTGGCCAAAAGAGATATTGGTATTCGTGTTTTTTCATAAATGGCAAAAGTCTTTTTTAAAGGCATTCTTTGATGTAGAGATTGGCAGTCAAGGACTTCTAAGTGATAAAACAAAAGGCTGCATACACAGCTACAAATTGCTTGTCACACAAGGAACTTGGATGCAAATTTTTCTCATCGAATATATTTAAATTGATCATCCACAGGTTGATCAATTTAAATATATTCAGGTTGACCAAGAAGTTGTGAAAAATCCACATTGCATATGCTTTGTCATCTTTAATTATGTGCATACTTTTATCCACCATTATTTTAATTAAGTTCTTCGGACAATTTCACTATTTAAGCTTCTCTTAGGTGTATTTTTTATATAAATGCTTTAATTTGAGCATTTTTAAGTATTTTTTTTTTATATAAGAATGCAAAGTTTTGAATTTTCTCGCTAGATATCGCTATGACTGGTTTGGATTTTTTGCTATATAACAGAGAATTGACTTGACCTTTTTAGATTTATGGAAATTTTTCTTTTTTCCACTTCCAGGTTTTATTTCAAAACTCCAAGTAGTCTTGAACTTATTTATAATATCTATGATTGTAGATTTTAGGACATTTGTACGTTTAGCACTTAAGCAATATAAAGTTGATGAATTTTTTGCAAAAAAAAATTCACAACTTTTAAACGCACCTCAATTTGTTTCCAATACATTTTGCAAATTATTTATTTGTAAACTAAAGTTTGTCAACATAATTAAAGATAAGGAAGTAACATTTAATTAAAAAAATAAAAGAAATAAAAAGCATTTGTGATAAATTTAATTCATCAAGATTTTTCTGATAAAAAGGAAGTGATGAAACTAGAAATTATTGAAAAAATTCAAATAGGATATGAATTCAGCTTAAAGCACGATGAATATATATTTTTGAGGCACATAAGGCACATTGCTCTCAACCTGTATGAAAGCAAATTTAAAAAAAAATTTAAAACGGGTCTAATTAGGATATAAGGTTCCTGCCTAGCTGAAAATGTAATACAAAATTTTAAGGGTCATTTAAATTCATTTGGTGTCTGTATGAAAAAAGATATAGTAGGTTCTACTCATAATGGTGCATCAGTTAACAAGAAACTCAGACAATTAACTGACATTGTTGATCAGTTTTGCTTTAATCATACAATTCATGTTTGTATATGCAACACATTATACAAGAGAAATAGACACAAGCGTACCTATTTCCAAGGAAATAGGTACGCTTGTGTCAGATAGTAATTCAGAAGAGGATGAACATGGAATTTATAACAATTGTTTTAGTTTTTTGAATAAATAAAAAATGAGATAAATGTTGACTACCCTAAAATTTTGATGAATTCACAAAAAGTAATGTATAATTCATGTTCACAAAATGTTCACAAAATTCATGTTCACATTCACAAAAAGTAAGTATAATTTATAAAAATGCCATAAGTTCGTAATCAAATTTTTCAGAAGAAAGTTACTGAGGAATTTTGTAAAGAAATTAAACTGCATCTCGATGTTCTTCATTGATGGATTTCACTTTTTTCAATGTGCCTTTTTAAAAACTAAGAAATATTTATTCCAAACTTTTACTGAATTAAATGCTCTTGATGTAATCAACAAGCTAGATTTTGAGTCTTTAGCTTCAATAAAAACTAGGATTATGCTTTTTTAAGTTTGTATTGACTAATGTAGTTTCAAATGCTTTGCTTTCGATGATAAAAGCAAATATTTGTCCAATATTTGTAACAGGCCATTGTCGCATATCGCCAATTAAATCATTTGCTTTCAACGGGTCGAAATCTATTTTAAACGATTTCAGTAGATTTGCGTAGTCACTATTTAATTTATTGCAAACATTTTCAGTACTTGGTACAACTTTAATTTTTTGCTCATATGCCATTATAGCTGTTGCAGCTAGGGAGCTATGATTGCCGGAACACTGAAACTTAAAATCTATAGATGAATATAACTAATCTTTAATTATAAAAAAATGAGTGACCCTATAAAAATACTATATTTAAACAAATTAAATAAAGCTCTAAGAATTCCTACATAAGTTGATGGCAAAACTACAATATGTCCTGGTCTGTGATCATTTCTAATGTTGTTTACATGTTTGTGTAAGGCATCACACTGCTTGCTTCTTATTTTGTTTAGGTTAATTGTCTAACTAAAAACTCTATTTTTTAACTAAAGTCGATCTTTTATAGCTGCTCGACGAACTTCTTTATCTTCCATTTCAACCATTTTTTTAAATGCATGAGCAAATAGGTTCTCTTCACTAATAATAGTTTGCAATCGAAACGTTAAATCATTTAAGTAAAGATCGTTACCTACATTATATGTAAAAACTATATAACATTATATGTAAAAACTAGTAATTGGAGTGACAACTTAATAAAATAAATAAGTAAAGCTAAAAAAAAGTAAAATAGATAGCAACTAAAATAAAATAAAACAAAATAAAAAGAAGAACAATTATATTTAAAGAAGCAAGACAAAAGAAAGCAACAATTATATTTAAAGAACAATTATATTTAAAGAAGCAAGAAAAAAAAAAGCAAGACACAAAAGGGAAAAAAATGAATAAACAGAGAGATAACGAATGAATGAGATAATGCAATGTTTGATGAGAAAACAAAAGGAAATTTTTAAATATGATAAGTGACCCTATATTAAATATAACCCTATAAAAATTACATACCAGCAAAGATTTATTCATCTTAAGATTTAAAACAAGCAATAAAAAAAAAAAAAAAAGCAAAAAAATTTACTTCAACATGATTTTTTTTTTTTAATGTTAAACCATATTTCTTATGCACATATAATAATAAATGTTTATACAATAATTATAATTTTTGAAATTTTTTTTTAATTTAATTTTTTTGAAACCGTTGCTTTGAGTGATCAGTAAAGATCTTTTGCTTAAGTTTTTGGAGTTTTGTAATTCCATAGAAAATGCAATATTATCAACAACAGATAATGTTCTTAAATCATGCTTGCAAAACAATTTGTTATGAATACAGAAATTGCATCTTTATTGCATTCAAATTTAAAAAAGTGTGTTGACTTTTTTAAATTTGAATGCATCTTTATTGCATTCAAATTTAAAAAAGTGTGTTGATTAACGGAAATGTTATGCAGTTGTTAAGGTGCCGAAAAGATACTTTAGTTGTTCTATTAATAAATACTTTAAACTTTGCTGGAAAACTTGCATTTAGGCTTTTTGGCTTAACAAGAAAATCCAAAAACCATGGTTAACAGTGTGAGTTTTTTTAAAATTAAAACTGGAACCGCTGTTTTTTATAAATGCGGTTTTTTAGAAACCTTAGTTTACAAATATATTGTGTTTCATATTCTTTTTTTATCACAGCTATTTATTAAATGTTTTTTTTTTAGTTTATTATTTTATTAACATATAAAATGTTAAATATAATCAAATTACTCAATCATACAAACAATGAACTAACTAACCTTTGAAACCATCAAAACATTTGCAGATGTAGCGTCCAATACCATCATCACAATGACCATTACCATTACATGGATTTGGAAAGCAATCATCTATGTTTGTTGAGCATTTATCTCCTATAAGAATTTTATTTATTTTATATATGCATAATTAATATAATTATATTTAATTTTTAAAACTCAAACTATTTTGATCATCCAAATATCCAAAATAAAAGATCTAAATGTTGATGCATAGGAACAACCATTGCTTGTGAATACTAGTTTTAATTTCTGCTTTATTTTACAACTATACAACAATCATTCTCATAGTTAAATTAATAATTTACAATTTTATAATTTTACAACAACTATTCCCATAGTTAAACAAGTTTTATCTGCTTTTATCTCCCACATATTCAACCAAATAAATTAAACTTAATTTAATAATTTTACCTGTTTACTTGATCACATAAACAACCTTAACCAACCTGCATAGCTATATGCTATATTACTTCATAAAACCTTGTTATCTAGTTACTAATTGCATATGAAAAAGAATTAAATAAAAAATTCAAAAATAGCTTAGATAGCTTATTTAAGTAATAGAGATAGTTTAAGTAATAGAGATAACTTATTTAAGTAATAGAAATAATTATAAAAAGATAACTAAGACTAATTAAGCTTAATTATTGACTTGTAATTGGCATTTTTAATGTTCAATATAATTGCTTTTTTGTTGTTGTTAGTAATATTTTTTAGCAACTTTAAGTTTAAATTAATTTATAACTATGGAATTTTGCATTTTCATGATTTTATGTTTCATGATTTCATGTTTCATGATTTTGTGATTAAATTTATTAATTTTTGTTGAAAGAAGACTTAAAAAGCTGAAAATTATAAGAGTCAGAAAATCATAAAAAACAAAAGAAAAAAAAAGTGCTAATGTTTATTAAATATTATGCAAAACATTATTGAATAAGTATGCAACAATTGAAAAAAGCAAAAAAAAAAAAAATTAATTGAAACCTTTTTTAATCATTTTTATTTAGTTATTATTTTTTTTTTTTAATTTGCATTCACTCCCAACAAGGCTGCAAGCAACCACTATTAAGTTGGGAGTTACTAGGAAAAAAAAGAACAGAGTTGCAGAGCAAGGAAACGGTTGACAGAAGACTTGAAAAGTTGAAGGTTGTATGAGTCAGGAAAACATGAATATGGGAGAGAGTTCCAAAGGATTGAAGTGCGGGCAAAAAAACTAGATGAATAAAAGTTTTTAGAGCATGCAGGGACAGATACAGTAAACGAATAAGACTTAGCTGAATGACGAGTAAAACGAGAATGAATTTTAGTTGATGGAACTAGAGATGATAACTCCTTTGAGCAGTGACCATGATAGTATCTGTAGAAAAGAGAAAGAGATGCAACTTTACGACGATGGGAAAGAGGTTCAAGCTTAGCAGATAGTCCAGGTCCAACAACATTTACTATGCGTTTTTGGACCTTGTCAAGAAGAGAAAGTGAATCGTTAGAAGAACCAGCCCAAATATGACAACAGTATTCCATACAGGGACAAATAAGAGATTTGTAGAGGTAGAGAATGGAATCAGAAGTAAGGAAATGGCGAGCATGATAAAGAGAAGCAACCTTAGCAGAAGCTAATTTAGCAATCGATTGTATATATGGTTTCCATGAAAGGTCAGTAGTAAGCGATAATCCAAGAAGACGTAAAGAGGACGACTCAGTAAGAGGATTGCCATTCATTAATATAGGAATGTTGACCATATTACGGTAGTTGTTTGCAGTAAACAACTGGGTTTTGTTAGAGTTGAAATTCACAAGTTACTGTAAACCCCAATCTATTACTGAAGTGAGATCGGATTCAAGATCAGCTGCTTGTTCTAGGCGATCGAAAAGAGAAGACGTTTTGTCAAGACAGGAGTATAAAGTTGAGTCATCAGCAAAAAGAGCTACTTCAGATGAAAGGTTGTCAGGAAGATCGTTTATGTAGATAAGAAACAAAACAGGGCCCAGGATGGAACCTTGGGGAACCCCAGAAGTTACTGCAAATAAAGAAGAGTGTTGGCCTTCAAGGATGACTTTAATAAATCGGTTAGAAAGAAATAATTTGATAATCTCAAAAACTTTCCCAGAAACACCACATGAAGCAAGCTTATAGAGAAGACCAGCATGCCAAACTTTGTCGAAAGCTTAGGATATGTCGAGAGCAATAGTCCTAGCCTCACCTCCAGAGTTTTTGAATATTGGAACCACAGATGCCATTTTCCAACAAGCAGGAAAACAGTCAAACACTTGTTAAATAGTTCCAACAAGACTCAGTCAAACACTTGTTAAATAGTTTAGAGAGAATTGAAGAAAGTTCTGGAGAACAATTCTGCAAGACTGTGATAGGAATGTTGTCTGGTCTTATTAAGTTTTTAATCATTTTTATTTAGTTACTAAGTTTTAGTTATAAAAATTTCATTAAAGTTTAGAACTGTTGTCTTAAACTTTAATGAAAATTTAATAAAACAGCTTTAATGAAACAGGGCTTGTATTAACACAAAAATCTAGTTGTAAAAAAAAAATAAATAAAAAACCCTACCCCTAATCCCTGGCAACACTTTACGGTAAGGGGGGTTGTGTTAGTTTTCTAAAATTTCATATTTTTTTAAATTCCTAAAATTTAACAAAGATAACATATGTTTTAATTTTTTTACAAATACCAACAATATATATCAACAATTTTGATATATCAACAATTTTTGTGAATATACCACAGTTACTTCAAAGACAACATTGACATTTTTAATGTATTTTGGCATTTTTTGACATTTCTGATACATTTATTGAACCATTTGGATTCTTAGCCGGTGAAAATGCAGAGGAAATATAACCAAAAGCCTGGTTCAAGAGCATATGCAACTGATCTTGTAACTTCGATCAACACCTTCTCAAAAAGAAACCAATGTTACCCAATAGCAGGGGTATTATTGATCGAACATGATAAATAATGAATGGCCAATGTTACCTCAAAAATTGGTCACTTTTTGGCATTTTAAAAAAAAAATGTAGCAAGCACTTTTTGCGAGTCAGGCTATTTGTCAGTTGATGTAGCAGAACTCCATTGCGAATCAGGCTATTTGTCAGTCGATATAGCAGCACTCTGTTGCGGGTCAGGCTATAAGATAGTCAATGTAGCAAAACTGGCGCATGATTTACAGTAAAAAAAAATAAAAATAAAAACATTGTTTATATTTTTATAAACATTCAGAATGTTTTTAGAAACATTCTGGTCAA